AGGTATTTATTATGTGTCTGGTCACATGATGCTAACTGTAGGTATTTTAATGTGACCCTCCATGTGTCCTCAGAATCAGCTCACCAGTCGTCTCCAGGATTCGGACAGTAAACAGGAAGTGGAAAATGAGTCTAGCAGGAGGAGCCTGTCTGTGTCCTCTCAGTCCAGGAGGAAGCAGAGCTGTGGAGGAGACCCGGTGCTCAGAGCCACTATGAGGCAGCTGCAGCAGCTCGGAGTCGACGTGGACCGAGAAGATCTGACGGAGTCTGAGCGCAGAATCCATCAAACGGTGGAGAGCAACAGGTATGGAGCTCAGCTGAGGGATTAAATGTGTTTAAAATACTTTAAAGTCAGGGTTCACTGATGCAGCTCTTACATGTTCAGATGAACGAACGAGTATCAAAGAGTCCACAGTTCAGAACAATCCTCAACTACTCTGAATGTTTCTTTACAACATTCCTGTTTGCTTGATCAAATCAAACTAGAATAAGAACCGTTATAACAGACCGTAGTGGATCAGTGATCCGTACTGACCCCCCTCACGGTTTAACGTTAACCAGCACAGTATAAATAAAGTTTTACTGACGATCACATTGACTCATTTTGTTTTTGAAGGCAGTTTGTGAATAAATCTCCAGATTTATCAACTGTTACTTGCCAAAAGTTTAAAAAAAAAAAAGTTTAAAAAAACAGTTGCATTACTTTTTCAGGTGAGAAAGTAACAGAGAGTGTGTGTGTGTGTGTGTGTGTGTGTGTGTGTGTGTGTGTTCCAGCATTCTGGCGAGCATTAACCCGGCGGCGGTTCTGTCCCGTCTCAGCGTGTCCGAGCCGACAGACAGCTGTCTATTCCCTGAAGGCAGCGTGGATCTGAGTCTGGAGGCCAACGCCATCGCCCTGCGTTACCTGAGCGACTCGCAGCTCAGCAGGCTCTCTGTGGGAGGCCACGCCCCCCGCCCAGGGCCCGCCTCCAACCACTCCCTGCTGTCTCCTAGCAACATGTCTCTGGCAACCAGGAAGTACATGAGGAGGTACGGCTTGATCGAGGAGGAGGAAGAGGAGGTCGATGTTCGCCAGCCGCTGACCGAAGCCCTGAACGTAAAGCTCCTCCCACAGAGTCAGCTGATCCGGGACTTGCGGCCCAAAATGCAGCTGTTAGCGGGCGGCGCCGGACCGAACGCCGCTGACAAGGAGAACCGTTCCAGCGGGCGGCCATCTTTAATGAGGGCAAGCAGCCATCAGACCGAAGGATCGGTGGGAAACATCCTGGACCTGAGTCGCCTCAGACAGCTGCCCAAACTCTTCTGATGGAGTCTGGTCAACGTGGAAACACTCTACTGGTCTCTATTGATCTCTACTGGTCTGGTTCCTGGTTTTCATGGTCTCACTGGTTCTGAGGGACTGATGAGAAACATTTGTCCAAACCAGGAAACCTGCTGGAACATTTTAAAAATGGAGTCAGGTTGTCTTTATGATCATTTATCAGAAGTTTGTGTTTTTCTGTCCCTTCCTGTTTTAATATGAATGTGTAGATTTTTTAAATATTTATTGCACAAATAAAATTCATAATTCTTTTAATACCTGGATACATATTTGTATGTAAATGTTAACAAGCTTGAGGACTAGTGGGACATTTTAAGAAAAATATTTTTCTTAAAATGTTTAATTTGAAATCTAGCAATGATGAAGGAGCTGACAGGAAGTGTAGGATGTTAAAAATCTATCTTTCAAGACTCTTTAAATCAGAATCGGAACCGTTTATTGCCGAGGTATGTTGCACATACAAGGAATTTAACATGACGGGATGTGCATAACATTTAACAACTATCAACACAGTGCAAAAAGTAGAAACATTAATATGTACAGAAAAATAGAAAATAAAGTGCACAAATGAACAGATAACAGGACTATAAACAAGTGTATTGTCAAAGTCTTCTAGTGTATTTAAATAGAAGCATAGAAGGGATGTGCACCGGTAGGAGGTTGTCCTGGGGATGACGGAGTCAGTGGAGGTCCTGGTCTTTGTTAATGAGTCCAACTGAAGAAGCTGTTTATGTGGCGTGAGGTCTTGGTCCTGATGGACCAAGACCTCACGCCACATGGAAGGAACACGAACAGTTTATGTCCAGGGTGAGAGGGGTCGGCTACAATCCTTCTTGTTCGCTTCAGGGTCCTTTAAGTGAACAAGTCCTGGAGGGACGGCAGATTGCAGCCAATCACCCTCTCAGCAGAGAGAATGATGTGCTTCTCCATCACGGCCTGGTACGCTGCAGCCACTGCCAAGGACAAGGGCAGACTGCAGCGTACCAGACCGTGATGGAGGAGCAGAGGATGGACTCAATGATGGCTGTGTAGAAGTGCACCATCATTGTCTTTGGCAGGTTGAATTTCTTCAGCTGCCGCAGGAAGTACATCCTCTGCTGAGCCTTCTTTGTGATGGACCTGATGTTCAGCTCCCACTTGAGGTCCTGGGATATGATGGAGCCCAGGAAGAGGAAGGACTCCACAGCGTCAACGGGGGAGTCATGCGGGGTGATAGTGGGAGTCACGTGGGGTGATGGGGGCTGGTGGGGCTACGTTCTTCCTGAAATCCACAACCATCTCCACTGTCTTTAGAGCGTTGAGCACCAAGTTGTTCAGACTGCACCAGGTCACCAGATGGTCAGTCTCCCACCTGTAGGCGGACTCATCCCCACCAGAGATGAGTCCAATGAGGGTGGTGTCATCCGTGAACTTCAAGAGCTTGACAGACTGGTGACTGGAGGTGCAACTGTTGGTGTACAGGGAGAAGAGCAGAGGGGAAAGAACGCAGCCTTGCAGGGAACCGGTGCTGATGGTCCGGGAGGCTGAGACGTGTTTTCCCAGCTTCATGCGCTGCTTCCTGTCAGACAGGAAGTCTGTGATCCACTTGCAGGTGGAGTCGGGCACCTGCAGCTGGGAGAGCTTGTCGTGCAGCAGAGACGGGATGATGGTGTTGAAGGCAGAGCTGAAGTCCACAAACAGGATCCTGGCGTAGGTTCCCGAGGAGTCCAGATGCTGGACGATGAAGTGGAGGGCCATGTTGACTGTGTCGTCTACAGACCTGTTGGCTCTGTAGGTGAACTGCAGGGGGTCCAGGAGTGGGTCAGTGAGGGTTTCTAGGTGGGACAGGACCAAAAAGAATTCATGACCACAGAGGTCAGGGCGACGGGCCTGTAGTCATTGAGTCCTGTGATCCTTGGTTTTTTGAGGACGGGGATGATGGTGGAGGCCTTGAAGCAGGCTGGTACGTGGCAAGTCTCCAGGGAGGTGTTGAAGATGTCTGTAAACACCGGAGACAGCTGATCAGCACAATGCTTGAGGGTGGAGGGGGAGACAGAGATGTTGACTTCATCTTCTAGATACCCACCCACCTGAATATAAGATAACATGCTGACAGTAACACGCTAACATTAGCTTAATGCTGTTCTTAACCGTTGTGTCACTTTAAAAAATGAAGCTCTGATGACCTCAGAAGACCAACATGTCGGCGTCAAACAAACATTGAATAATTTCCTGCGTAAATTCTAGGGAACACTGATTATGTCATTGATTTTCAACAACATTGATTCACTGCAGAAACCCATAATACAGTAGTGATGCCTCTAGTGGACACTAAGAGAATAACATGCATTATATCTATAATACAGTAGTGATGCCTCTAGTGGACACTAAGAGAATAACA